GAGATTTTACTTTTTAATTAGGCCCTGTCCCCTCCAAAAAAGAAACAAAATAGTGTGAAAGTAGAAGTTATGCTTTTATCCCTTCAATAGTCATATAAAGAATTATTGTCTCCATAGTTATTTTTTGGTTGATGCAGCACTGTTTCACTGTTAAATAGTACTGCATTGTGCATGCTGAGGAAATAATGGTGCACACGCTGATGGAAATCCTTACATCTGAGGAGTATTCACCCATGACATAAGAAATAAGACAGAAATAAGAATAAGTGTGACAATCATTGCCCTGTTCCATCTGCATTTGTTGTCTTGATTGATGGAATTGTTACCCCAGCTACTTGGAATGCTGAGTGCAGTTTTTTGTTGTAAGCTACGCTGCTGGATGAATCTAGCAGGAAAGAGATGCTATATTCAAGGTAGCATCTCCTACCCAAGGCCTCAACAAAAGCTAATCAAGCAGAATTTAAAAACTTGAGCAAATTACCATATCCTGCAATAATTTCTAAATTGCATCTTGCCTCCTCAATTCCTTTCCTTGCTAGGTTAATCAGTACCACTTCACCTCAGGGGAGGGTAATAGGTCAGGTTATCTGTTGGTCTCATTACCCTATATCTATTCTATTCCACTTTTCTGATTCCCAGAGTATATCACAATAAGTTTCTTCCCTAGTCCTTCAGTATCAGGGAGCCCATTCACATGTAAGAAAACTGCAGTTAGAATCTTATTATAGTGTTAGAAAAATTAATTATTTAATGTGATTATGTGTGGCAGCATGGTCATTAAACAAAGAAATGTAAAAGAAAGGAAGGAAGGGAAAAGACATAAATGAGAAAGGAATAATCCCACAAAAAGTAAATCCCATAATATCAGACAACTAATCACTGGACCTTGTATCAACTTTAGAAAATATATTGTGATTTCACCATCTATAATGTAAAAAATATAGACAGAATAATTCAATAAATCCAAATATTAGCAACAACAGATTTGACTCTCAAAGTACAATGATGCAAATATTACAAATATAATTCATAAAGTCATGTTAAATTATTTCACCAGATCGAAAGGAAACACATACCCAGACACCCACAGTGACACACACACACACATACACACACACACACACACACACACACACACACACACACACATATAGTCCTGTATTGAAATATACAACAGTGATGAAAACATGCAGTTGACTCCAGTGCAATTGGGAAAACATCATAAGCTCCCTGAAATGTCATAGGACACATAATGTTTGAGGAATGTTATTCAAATGATAAAAATACAGTGCATCCTAAGATTGTCCTTCTGTACAGAGCTGAGAATCTCACATTTCTTCTGTGAAGTTGCTCAGATTATCAAGCTCACTTGTTTTGATATCCTAGTTGGATAATATACTAATACACATTGCAACTTACATCTTTGATGGTGTTTCTGTGTTTGGAATTAGGTTTTCTTATATTATCATTCTGTCATCAATCTTGAGAATGCCATCATCAGAAGGAAGATATAAGGCCTTTTATACCTTTACATCTCTCATTTGTCTCCTTGTTACATGGGACAGGTTTTGGCATGTACATTAGTTCTACAGTAAGTGATTGAGCCCAGAAGACTGCAGCACCTTAAGTGATGTATTTTGTGGTCCTTAAGTGGAGAATCCCTTTATCTATGGTCACAGGAACACGGACATGAATTCATCTTTGTGGAAGCTTATTCGTAGGATATCTTCTCTTATATTATATGTTATTTGCTTTGTATGTGTAAGATAACTTAAAATTTAAAGGTTCTGTGCGTGCCAAAAATGGCACCACACAAAATGACTCGAAAATGTAATACTAAAGGGCATTATATCTTTGATTCAAAATTGGCTTTTATCTTTGGTAGTTATCTGATATTTTAAACATAGCTTCATTTCTAAATATAAAATTTTTTGCTTAAGCAAAGCAAAAGTTGAACGATCACACTAGTTTTTGAAATTGTGTGTGTGTATGTGTATGAGTGTGAAAGTTCTGACTAACACAAATTGAAGATGTTGGTGAACATAAAGCATAGTATTTCAATAACATTTTCACAATATGAAAATTTGTTCTAAGTCATGTGACTGGGATCTTTAGAATTATATTATCTAACTAGTTCTACTATGAGCCACATGAATAATATTGTGCCCTATGAATCTAAGAATGAGACCTGATACTAGAAAATTATATCATTCTGCATTAACATATTATCAAGAATATTCAATGTGATTAGCTATGTGTCTGGCATAATTAGATGACATTACTACTTTGAGAAAATTGTGGATTTTATCACTGATGACATCTTTAGTTCTAAGAAAAAAAAAGAACCCTAACACTAAAAGACTCAGACTACATTTTTTACCTTTCATGATAAGGACCTCAGAGATAAGGGATGTGCTGGAATAGAATAGGGACCATTCTTGTGTGAGGTGAAATCATTATGGACCTCACTCTCATGCAGGCTGCCAAGGAATTACATCAAAAGCAGGTATCATATATTACACTCTGATATGAAGCTGAGACCGAAAATTGTATCCTTTCTCAGTTGCACTAAGAAATTCTTCATAGGTCAAGAGATTCTGTAATATCTTAAGTCTTGGTATTAATTGCATATTCTGATACTTTTTTATAGAGTTCTGATTATCTTACTTGATAAATCAAATAAAAGTAAGCATCTGAAACAAATTTTCAGAGGAAGCACTTTTCTTTTATTACTTGGATAGGTTTGTATTCTAAGATGAACAGAAGAAGAAAAAACACTAAAGAAGAAGAATTGTAATCAAGCACAATTGAGACTTCCAGTAATGCATCCTCAGTATTTGGTCAAAATTTCATGTAAAAACATCATATTTTTTGAACTGTAATGCAATTTATGCAGCTTCTATAGGTCCACATGTATTTTATTAAATAAATTTGCTTCTACTTGACCTTTTAAAGGTTAAACATGTAACCTTTATGTTTATAAAGGTTGTATCTTTATAATTGTATATCTTTATGTTAGTTGTAATGATGTGTTATGAAAAAACTCCATGATGGCGTTTCGAAGTTATTCATTTATTTTCAAAGTCCTCCATATTTATGCTATGTAAGACATATAAAAATTAATAATATTGTTGAAATAGTGTTAACTATGCTTCCGTTATTAAAAATAAATGTGTATTGTTTGAATATCCTCCCCCATGTTGACTGAGGGGAAATCATTGTTTAATAATTGGAGTGAAATCATTGGCAAAAACACTGCAACTTTTAACTTTGGGACTTTTCTAAAGACATTTCCTAAATGTGAGAACCAATTTATATGTCAGATAGGCATTTCTGGTTTTCCATACTATCCTTAAAATTTCTTACTGCTCTAACAATTGTGTAAGGCAGCATTTAACTAACTTCATTTATGGTGTTTGAGACATCTTAGTCTTTTTATATATTATGGGGCATTTATTTTACTCTGTTTTTGATATGAAAATAAAATGCACATAATATGTCATTTCAAGTAAACTGTTTATGTATTTCAAAAAATTAATCAAAGTCTGTATGGTGGTGCATGCCTGCAATCCCAGAACTCTGGGAGGCCGAGGAAGGACATTTGTAATTTCTAGCCTATCCTGGAAATTTAGCAATTTAGTGAGAGCCTGTCTCAGAATAAAAATAAAAAAGAGGAATGCACCTCAGTACAGAATTTCTGCATTTATCAATAATGTTGCAAGAAACAGTCCATGTTAATTCTTAATGTAATTTGAAGTAGAAATTCTTTGTATTTTATATATATAGCTAACATTCTTTGGGATCATGTGTTGTTTTAATATGCTTTATAATAATTAACAGATGCTTTAAGTAGATATCATGATCTAATTTGTCAATATTACCTCATTGTCTGTATTCAATAAATTTTGATATTGAAAAAGACACTTTCCATAGTAAAAGAGCTTAAGTCTTGAAAACAAACTGACATTTTTATTTGCCTTTGCTGTGAGAATCTAAATTCAGTTTATTTGGTCTTTCACAGATCCATGCATTCATTCACTGTATAGTCAACTAATATAAACATTTATGTATGAAAATGTTGTCATTTCTCAATTTCTATTCTGAACAATAGGATCTTATGTCTGTTCTTTTTCTTATATCACATCTTAATCAATGAAGTATAACACATTGGTATTGGAATGAAGATAGCTTTAATAAAAACCCATATGTTCTACAAACTTTACAGTGATAAAATTATTCTTTAAGCTGGTTAGTTGTTTCCCTGCTAGTTGTAAGTAGGACTTAGAGGAAATTACAGTTATATGAACTCATGGGTGTGGAACTCATGATGAAAGTACTGTCCTCATAAGTAAAGAAAGATATATAAAAATCCCTGCTCTCTGCTACGAAAAGATAAAGTCAAGAGGGGGCCATGTGAAAACCAAAAAGAGGGGCATAACACTGGTCAGAATTTCAGTCTTGGGACATGGCAATACATACAACTACGAGACATTAACATTTGCTCTAACTAAATTCTAGTCCTTTACTTTAAGGTAAAAGTAATGGTATCTCTGAAGCATGATCCTAGGTTTTAGTATAGAAGCATAACTTTTATGATTCAATAAAGAAAATATATTCATAAGTACAATTAATAAATTATAAAACTGCAGATACTCTAGAAGTTTGGTTCTAAGATTGACAGAATGCTTTCTGCCTTAAATTTTATGTTTTATATTTAAGGCAACAGATTCCAATTTATAATTGTATCAATTTCTACTGTGTTTCATAGCAACATAATCATTAGAGTCTCACAATTTTCTTTTCAAATTTTATTACCAAAGTTCCAGGATATGTTTTTCTTTACATGAGAGGCCCAAGAATTGAAATTATTACTCCTAATTTTTAAACTGTTATTAGAAATTACCATGACAATAAGAAAGCGTTAGTATTCTTTTTTTATTATTATTTTTTATTTTATTTTATTTTATTTTGCTTTAAACAATTTATTTAACTGAAATGACTTCCCTTTATTTAACTGAAGTGACCTTTATTTTATTTTGATATATCTCTGCCCCGTGGTGATCTTTTCCCCACTGGATCTTCAAGCCAATATAAATATTTCATAAATATTCGGCCATTTGGGATAACCTACACAATACCTCAGCAGTATCTTTCAGCAAGAAAAACACCACTGAGTTAAGACCTGACATACACTTAGCCTCCCATTAGGTGCTGAATGGCAGAGCTCCCTCCCCAGTTTATGCCATGAATTCATAGGGAATGGGTTCCAGCAATTCAGGCTCCTTCCCATTGGTCCTCACAAAGTGTGCTTCTCTGGGCGGGGCGGGCTGGCGCTTTAGTTGAACCCAGGTACCTTTCTCTTTGGCTTCCTTCTTTTTCTGATCATTTTCCTTGACACGTTTCAGGAAGCTATCACGACTCTTTGAGTGTTTAATATGCTCAATACGCACATTAATCCTCTTGGCCAGGATCTTGCCCTTAACTTGCTTGTTTACAACAATGCCAACAGCATGCTGGGTAACATTGTAGATTCTTCTTGTTTTGTCATGATAACATTTGTGTGGCATTCCTTTTTGTACAGTACCCATTCCCTTGATGTCTACAATATCACCCTTTTTGTAGATTCGCATGTATGTGGCCAAAGGAACATGCTTTCTAAAAGGCCTAGAGAACATATATCGCGTTCCCCTCCTCTTTCCCTTTGTGTTCGTCATTTTGGCGAATTACTGGAAGATGGCGGTTCCGGCCAAAAGGAAGGAAAGCATTAGTATTCTGCTTTATCCATACACTCCACAGACACAGAGAGATACAAAAAATATTATTCGATAAAGATGGCACTCCATGTACTAATGTACTTAATTAGAAACAGTATATTGAATGAATCTGACATTTCCATATTTTTGCAACATATTTTACTACATCCCAATTTATCACAAATGTTTTTAATCAACAGTATTTTAGAGATAATATTTAATTAAACATGAGAAAAAAGACATTGCTATACTATCATATACCACTTTGACATTATTAACTTCAAACACATGAAGTAATAGAGAAAATAAGAAAAGACAAAGATAGTCTCATGAAACAAGATAGCCTTCAAAATGCCACAAAATGAACTCCAAAAAAGAGAAAATTTAAAGTCTAGTATCTCTATGAATTTATGTTGACAAGGAGGAAGTTACTATTTCCAAGTAATGAGGGCTATTTTTTAGAAAATACTAAGATCTTTAAGTAAAAAATGGAAGTATGTACCTTAAGTCTTCGTAAAAAGGAACAGAAAATGTAAATACTTATTAGTCATTTTAGTGGGGACTAAGAATGGCTAAAAATCTCAGAAAAAATATTAAGAAATAAAGGATCTACACTCCTGATGGAATCTTTGTGGCAATTTTGATGCTACCAAAATAACAATCATACAATTCTGAAAAGTGAATTCAGGACTAAAGAACGCGTTAATTATTGGTCAAAACAACTAGGAATTTTCTAGATGAGAATTAGCAACCCTACAAATGGAAAAAGACCTGAAATTCTTATTCCCATTCAAATAAAGTTGCAAATAAAATTGAGTCACTGTGGATTAAAATAGTTCTGATGAACTGTCTTTATCTAGTCCATGTTCTTTTTAAAAGAATTGCTCATTTATAAAGAAGTAAATTCACAGCTTGCATTACTGGAAAATGAGAAGTGCAGTATCAAAGTAATAGCCTGTTTCTTGTCTAATAAATTGTCTAGCCATCTATTGAATAGTCCATTCCATCCTGAGTACTGTATTTTCTCTAAAGGGGAGAAATATAATTTCTCTCATGCAAGTGGAATGTCACAAATTCCTTCCTTAAAGCTCTTTTTCTGTCACTGCATATCAAATTCAATGCAAATGGATGAAGGATTATATCATTATTGTAAAGGTCAAGGTGACAGCATATAGTGGAATTCTGGACATAATTATTGTTTTAGATAATAGAATTTTCTGAATGGCTATGCACTGTGTATAAGAGAGACAGAAGTTAGGGATGCTGAAATAAACTTCTCAGCAGCTGAAAAAATGGAGTTACAGTACCAGTAATTAGGTCAGAAATGATTACTTGCCTGTAAATATTTGGGGGTTGATGTGACTTTTTAAATAGAAACATTGAATTTAATGTCTAGTAGCACTAATATTTATTGTGCCACTATTGATGAGTCATGATATTAAATGAATTGAGATACACACTACAGGTTAAAAGCATAAAAATATGTTAGGTAAACACAGTGGACGGTTAGAAATATACGTTAAGAATTCAAAGCAGAGTTTATCTCTCGAAAAAAAATTAAACAGTTCTTAGACTGTGAGCGAACACTAAAGATGATTTCAAGATTTATTACAAAGACTGAAGGGAACTATAGGAGAGAAGGAGTATGCACTGAATCTGGAAGCAATGACCATGTTTTCAGGGTGACAGGACAATACAGGCACAGTAGAAAAGACTGAGGCCCAGTCAGTATTGATATAAAATATAAACACTAGAGCATAGGAAAAGATAAGTGAAGAGCATTTCAATAATTGAGAAAATGAGTCACTGTTAATAACATGTAGAAACGGGAAGGAAGAAAAGTTAATTCCTGGGATGAATGTGGCAGAGGAGCTTGGCAGTTCTTTAGGGGAAACACAGATCTGCTGGAGCAAATGCTACTTGGATTGATCTCAGAAGGACACATTATTTCTTTTAGGAAATAGTGTAAACAGTGCACAAATATGAGGTTTGGCCTCATATTTAGAAGTATGTGAAGTTCAGAGTGTTGTTTTATTTTAACTAATACATATCAGTGGCACATATTAGCAGGACTAGTGTCATATTTCCGCCATATGCAAACAATGTGCATTAATCAAATCCACTCTCCTTTTATCTGTCTTGTATCCCAATCTTCCCAGCCTCTAACTGTTACTGTTGTACATTTATGTAAACTTTTTAAATTTCACATATGAAAAATAAAATATATTACTTGTATTTTTCCATGGATTTTATTTTGCTTGATACAAAATCCTCTGGTTCCATTTGGGTTTTTTTTGCAAATAATAGAACTTCATTCTTTTTTCACTTTTCTTTGTTCTTTCTTTAAGATGTATCCAGTGATATTGAACTCACTATCATGCATCTATTGGTCATTTGCACTTTCTGATGAAGAGGTGTCTATTCATTTCAGATGTCTATTTCTTGATTGGTTCTTTATATTTGTGGAAGTTTAAGTTTATGAGGTCTTTATATTTTCTAGATTTTAGTCTGAACTCAGAAGAGTAGTAAGCACACATAGTGCCATTCTGTGGGTTGTCCCACACTTTCTGTGCCCATCAACAGATGAATTAAATTTGATGCATTTTAGGCAAATGAATGAACCTTGAAACCATAATTTTAGATAAAATCTACCAAACACACAATATTACACATCACATTGATTGTCATGTGAAAAACTCAGTGTAAATATGGATTAAAATAATGAATAGATATTAGGAAGTAGGAAGAACATTTTTAACTGGTAAACCAAATAGGAGATGAAGCAGAAAGGAAGGAAGTATAGCAAAAGGGAATTAAATAAAACAACAGAAGTAAAACAGAGTTTTTCAAATCCTGAGGGAGAGAAAGTTAGAGGGAGAATAGAAATAAACAAAAATAGTAGATATGATATATACATGTACATCAGAGACCCTGGGAAAGATCCCAATGTTCTGTTTGGTGATACAATACAAGGTTGCAAAGAAAAATTCATAAACAAGATAAAATGGGGAACTTGGATGGTCAATGCTTGAAACAGCAAAGACCTGACACAGCCAGATGCATCGCATTGATTGTACAAGTTATACAATGGGTTGATGAGGCCACATACAGTTGATACATATAAGATACAGATGCAGACAGACATTATAAAGGAAGGAACTGACATTCTTGCATCAACAACAGAAGAGATCAGGAATAGGTCATGGTTAATGATGGACTCATTTCTCAAAGGAAATAAACTACAGTTTTGGAAAAGGAATTTGAGAAGAGCCACTTGTCCTTGGCTGCCATATGATCTAATATCAGAGACACACAACTTCATGGCCCATAAAACCAGTTTCCCTGTGGTGCTGTGTTGTAGTCAGGGGTTGTACACAGAGAACAACTAGGATTAGGACATGGAGTTCATAATATTTTTATAATGGTCACTGGAAGTTAACACAAGAAAGTGCAGGAAATCTATCCTCAACACCAAAGACAAAGATTATTTAGCCAAGAGGCTAAACCCCATGGCAATGTCCCACGAGAGTCTAGATAAAAAACCCAGAGCTCAGGACAATGCCTCTATGAGTCCAACTGGAGGTCCAGAGCCCATAAAGACTCATGCAAGTCTCTTTTATGGATCCATGCTGGGAAGACCCAAGGGTCAGCAGTAGAAGCCAGAAAGTCTATGCCAGCAGGATGAAGGAACTGTGCTAGTGGGATGAGGGTTCTACACTGGAACCAGCAAGTCACACTCACAACAAAGACTGGGGCTGTCCTGAAAGGCAACAAAGCTCTCCTCAGCGACACAGAGGCCCCATGCTCTTCCTCCAACAAGCACAGTCAGGTACATGCCAGGAAGCAGCATGAAGAGTTCATCCTGGAGAACAAGCAGCACATGTCTTCCCCTCCAGAGCTAGGAAACAATGATCGATGTGAGAACCAAAGCTTCTCCAGGAGAACCAACAGCTCAGACAGCAACTTGTAGAAGAACCCACAATGCCTCCTTAATGCCTCAACCCTCTCAACACCTCCCTTCTTCTCCACCTATTTATCCTGGCAACTCTCTTCAGGTGGAGCATCTTCTCTCAATGCATGCTGATGTAATCTGGCTAGTGTTAAGTTGACCACCAGTTCTCAAACCATGACATGCTGACAGGGAGAAAATGGTTATAGCCCTCCACAGTGCTCTCATGAGTCATGAGGGCTTTGATCTGAATCACTTCTTAAAACAAGCCAATAATGGGATTAACACTTTACTGCCCTCACTGCTTACAGCCTGTTCTGAGTATAATCAACGGGGTGGACTCCTGCACATGTACAAATTCTCTATAATAAATTAAAGCATTAGGTACTAGTAACAGGTCCTAATTTTAAAAAGAAACATGATGTTTACACACGGTGTAATACTACTGTAGCAGAAGGAAAAGTAAACTTCAGTCATTTTGAGGGAAATGGATGCACCTTGATATCACATTCTTAATGAAGTAAATCAGACACTCAAAGTTAAATATTTCATGGTTTCTCTCATATCAAAAAACCACATTATAAATAAAGAACAAAATAAATGGTAGATAATTAGAAGTAGGGAGGCAGGTATTTCTCAAAGGGGAAGAGGGCAAATAGATGGCAGGAGAAAGCAGAGAGGGGGAGAGAATTGGGTTTAAAAGGAATTAAGATGTGTCATATGCAAGTATCAACTCCCCAAGGAGTGTAACCATAGTCTACATGCAACATACTAAACATAGTTTAAAAAGATGAAAACTACAATCAACTAGTAACTGTGTCATTTCTCTGTCAGTCTTCACAGTGATATCACCCTTTTACTGACTTCTCCACAGTCATCTGTATTTTAAGTAACTGTAATTTTACATTTGTGTGCTACTCAGATAATTCAGAATAAAGCAATTCTATGCAAAGATTCTTTTCCTAAAGGAGTAATATTTGCCATTTGTCCTTTAAGTCAAATATTCACAAGTGAGAGAGTTTGGATGCAGA